AGTCTTCCCCACTTCATGTTTGTTATATTGGAATTACATAATCTGGTAGTGCACAATAAATATAGCTCTTATTATTGATTTATTTTTACAATTTATTAAACATTGCCAAAATTGTTCTCGATTTTATGTTGATGATATAACACCCCTTCCATCGCTAAAACCCCTAACTTTTAACATTTCCTAACACATCACTCTCTGTTCCTATATACAAATATATGTAGCACAGTAAAGGACCAAGCAAAGGGCCTTACAACGTTAACGAATTTTTGAGAGCACTTTCATACGATCTATTATCATGCATACGTCACAAATCTAACAACGTGCAAAGGTCATCAAATAAATATATTTAATATTTATTTAACTAATTCTGTATGCTTGTGCAGCCTATCGAAGAAATTGTGTGGTTTTTGTAAATTGTTGTATAATTGAAAACATTTGGAAAAGATCATATTTGGCCATTATACTATGATTTCTACGAATTTATTCTATCGCTGAGTTTAACAATTTTCTGGAATACTTTTTTGAAGTAATAAAATTTCAGTGAAGCTCAATCTTGGAGAATTAAGCGTAATTTTCTTTAAAGTCGTATTGAAAATTATGTCAAAGATTCTCTCTCAAAATATAGTCGTAATAGAAAGAAATTCTATTTCATATTTATCAGTTTATATCATTTACCGGTTGTGCAACTAATTCCGACATAATCTGTTTGTAGATCGAAATAAATGTTTTCCAGGTCTTTGTCTTCCATGCCACCTATAGCTTTCAAGGATTTTGTATGCACTATATTAAATTTGAAATCCATTGTAAGAGTACAAGGCTACACTCGTCAATGATCTCTTTGTGTCTTAAGATTATATGATATTGTAAACATCGTCCTCTACATCAAAAATTATAATCAGTACCAGTATTTTGCCCATTGCCTGCCCTTAATTGCAACTTTCTCAATGTATCATTCATAATGCCTAGCTTATGCCTGTTTATCCCAACGAAACAGTTTGCCACTAATCATTGTGTGCTGCGAAGATGTAATCTTTCATCTTGAAAAGATCCACATTCAAATCCTCAACATAGTATTAGCGTTTCTTTTAAGCTTGTTAAATTAGGTTTAGATTCTTGTTTATCAAAATAATATGTAAGCAACACGGTTTTATCTATAATATCAGGTAAAAAAAAAATTAAAAATGATGCATCCCACCAAACAAAATAACCCTTTGCATATTCAATAAATAAACAAAAATGGTGTATGTGCCTGAACTTTCGTTTGAATTACATACTAATCTGCCAAATTATATTGTGTGCAACTAGTAACGTTCAGCAAAAAGCGATGGCGCATAGTTTAATTCGTGACTTTTAATTAACGTCTCTGGAGTAGGTCTGACCAAAAACTTTCAAACTATATATATATATATATATATATATATATATATATATATATATATATATATATATATATATATATATATATATATATGGTGATTAACTTTACATAAGATACGACTAGGTCAAACTATCCATGTAAAAGTTTCCAAAGATGGTGGTTCAAAACATTTATAGGCTATCTGATTAGAGCTATAAGCCAGGGGATTTGTTTTATTTAAGAATTCAATGCTGAGGAATTAAAAGTTCCAACGGAAGGGACAGCCTAAATATCTTCTGGATCAGAGAGTTCAATAAAGGCAACATATAAAAGTATCCGATGAAACGGAAACAATAGACACAAATTATAAAATTTGTTGAACTAGCAAGAGAATCCGAGACCATTGAGTGTATTGCGGGAGAATTCAAAGCGGAGAATCTTCGTCTGCAGCTGTATTATTCGCAACACAAGAAGAAAGAGATTGATTGGTATATGTAAATATTGTAGAAGTTGTCAGTTAGAAAGGACAACATATGGAAGGGGTGTGGATGGAACTCTGTGAAAAATAAGGTTATGGAGTTTTAAAGCAAAATGATACCGGCGGAGGAAGAGGTCCAAATGACAAACAAATGAACAAATAATCAAACGAACTGTATTGCCAGTACGGCTGGAAAATGCTGCAGGTAGAAAGGGTAGCTAGTTGGACATCTAACACAGTTAGTGAGAATCTTTAGAGAAAGCATTTGAAAAACAAAATCATTTCAAAAGTTATATAAACTCACCGTTAGATAAAATGCTGATATATGTGTTTAAAGAAAGAATGTTACAATAGCTGTTACAGTCACTGCAGTGTTACATCTATGACAAGTGTTGCTCTGTAAACAGAAAGTAAGGAAGTTACGTTAGTAGTGGAGGAGTTTTGATGCTCCATCAAAAAACGAAGATTATTCAATCAGCGATAAAAATGAAAAGGGTTAAATAAATACAGGAAGTTACGTTAGTAGTGGAGGAGTTTTGATGCTCCATCAAAAAACGAAGATTATTCAATCAGCGATAAAAATGAAAAGGGTTAAATAAATATCGGGAGTTCATTTTTAGAGTTCGGAAACAAGGCAGTATCTGTGCTGTTTATATTTATCAGTTGATTACTTAAGAGTACTGTTCAAATTCTTCCTTTAATTACTGAACATCATGTTTTTCATAGTTTGTAATTTGTAGTTAGTTATTTTCAATGGAGGTGTATTTACTAAATATAATAGATTTAGATGTTCTTGATCCATTATAAAAAGTAAATTATTGCAGCTCATGCAATCGTTATAAAAAAAATTATTCTCTCTACATATTTTTTTCTCACGTTGTCTTTTCCCTGTACAGTTCATTATTTTACTACCACATATTGCTTATCAGTCTTTAGAATACCGTTCATTTTAGGATTCATGGTACTGTTTAACCCCCATTTAAACGCGTTACTGGATTTTGTCAACAACGATGCTACCCATTTTTGAGATCGTTTCAGTCGTTAACAAAGATACCTGTTTACCACCAACATTATCGTCCAATTCCACCTTTAAACATGATATCATGAATTGTTGAAAGTATATCTTAATATACTAAACTGTATTAAAATTGCCGTGCTAAAATTATTCAAGTCTTCAACGTTTTAGTAGTGTTTGATAATATGTTGTGTATTATACGTTCTATTTTGTACCTGTATATCTAATATGCATATTACATAAGCTCGTATACTTCATTCAGTAAAGATATTCTGTCACCTGTTCATCCCTTGCTATCTTGCACAAATCTTTAAGTGGATCTAGTAGGTGTGCCATTGTCTGCCTAAAATTCATCTCATCAAGAGAAGTTTTTCTCCAGCATTCAACCGTACATGCTCGATAGTTACATTTATATTTGTGTTTAGACAACACAATATCAGATGTAAGTTCCCCAAAGTCATGTTGTACAGTTTTTGTGTTCTTCTGACCCATTGTCAATGAAATATTTGCCTTTCCCTTGATGTATCTCCAATTATCCTGTGGTGGAATCTTACACTTTCGGCAGATCAAAATAGACTGTTTAAAGTCTACGCTAGGATTTTTTTTGAGCTTTCTTGTGTTTTGTTTTATTTTTGTTCTTCAATTAATCATCGACCGTTAAAGTGTTTTTATATTTAGAAAAAGCATCTGGAAAAAGCACATATGAAATGTGTATGCTGACTGGACTAATGATGATAATGCATCTTTGTATGTTAAGTTATAGTAGGAAATCTCACATTCAGATGTCGCCATTTAAGCTGCCAAATTTATGTGATTCTGCAAAGCAATTCATGTCACAAAGTTTTCTGTATTTAAAATGTGTTTAAGCTTATATCCGTTATACTTTCAGTTGTTACTGACAAGGGCTCGTACTCGGTAACAAAGAAAAGAGTAAAAACCATCAAGCTTTGTATATTTTAACAAAACAATTTATTTTCCTAGACAACAATGTAAAAATTAGTTAATAGGACTTACAGTTTGTGAATATAATCAAAATTATGATTCTACGAATGAAAACACAAGTCATATCACTAAATAGTCCTACAGGTTTGAGTCCCGACGACGTAAATATGGAAGGCGATGACGTCAGATGTGGTACATCAACAGTTCCTCACTTGAATTATAGTCTTTGTTTCCGAATAATTCCAGAATAAATTTCTAAGAATACATTTCAGGTTATTTTTAAATAAAAAGTCAACTTGTTGAGTTTCCAAGGAAATAAATTATTAAATCCAAAAATCAGATGAAGAACAAATAATCCTGGCAACAAATAAAAACAATATACCTTGTTCCTTCAAGGTGCTGAATGACTCTGCCAAAAATATTAGGATTGCGTATTTAAAACCCCAAAACGTCATTTCAAGTCTCGCGAGATTGGTCATGTGGTCTCTTACTACACTATCTTTAGCACGTAGACCAACCTGTTCCCCTTTAAAACCAGTCATAAAAAAAACGTTGTTTACACATAGTGATCACGCCAAGAAAGTATGCCCCTGACACTGACTAATCATTTTAACTTCCTGTTGACACTGTTGCCAGCCCAAGACGAACTTAAAGATAATTCTCACGTAATACTTCTTCGTCTTAAATAAACTTTGTTTAAAAAAAATATCTCATTACTAAAAAGAATCCCGTGTCTACCTTTGTAACCATTAAGATAATTATTACAAAATTGACTTATGTTATGCCTGTATTTAAGGCATTGTTTCCATATCCATGTAATTTTGTATTGATTTATTCTTATTATTCTCTAGTCAGAACTCCTACGAATCTTTAAATCAGTCTGTCTACACATCATAGAAGGTTTACTGTAGTTTGCTTAATCTATGTAGTGTAAAAACGTTTCTCATATAAACTAATATCATCTAGTTTTGTGGCAATTTTTCGCGACTGAAGACTTCACAGATCTGTTAAAATTGCTCATGACAAAAAAAATGATTCCAGGAAATATGCGCAGTGGATTGTATTATTGGCATGATTGCTATGCCGTCTTTAAATGATCTTATTTTGGGTTATTTTAACACTACTTTTAACATATTATTGACTATATCATGCCGAAGAAGGTGAACAAAATGCTTTATCCATGGACACACCAATGTATCGATTTGGGGTATCATGGTCGGGTAGATATCGAACCATCGACTCTTGGATTACGAGTCCGACTCTCTACCAGCTGAGCTACCACGGCACCCCTCTTAAACTGAAATTCGAGACACGTTCTAATATCTCAAGATCCCATCAACATTAATATGATTTTTATTACCCCTAACTTTGTACAAAATCTCGTGGACTAGCTTGCTGTATTTCACACTGCATTGTTTCACAGCTTTCTTAGATATTATTACGCTCATCTTCATCGTTTTGAATGTGATCTCTGTGGTGTTTTTTGTAATGTTATTTGTTATCCTGCTAGGACATTGCGTACATTGTAGTCGCCCTCTCACGTATTTCATTTGTACCATTCTTTGCATACTGGTGATCTTTTAGATGTATTTTCTTTTTTCTCTTTCTCTGCTATTTCACATATCAGCATGTTTTAAATTCCTTCGCGTTTTTCTGCACCAAGTTTTCCACATCGGTTACATTCTAGAAATGCATTATCTATCATCTATCAATATTTATATCATTTCTTTCAAAACGAGAAAATAAATACAGTATAGTTTTGTGCTTGCATTCATGTTGTGTAAAAAATTCAAACTAATATTATACTTTGCAAAGTCTGTGCTGTTTGAAACGTGAACACTTAGTGTCACTGGCTAGTAGGTTTTAATGATTTCCTCATATATGCAAAGCTCAAAATTCACGCTTTTTATCTTAGTGACTTTGTCAACGGATCACTAAGCACCAAAAGACAACCTTCACTAATCTGTTGGAGCATTGAAAATTACAATCCGTCCCTATCATTACAATTAACTATTTACTGGTTGATGAGAACGGCGCTGCCAAAGGGAGACGTCTGAATGAGAAACATCGGCTACAGAAGACCTATTTACTGTATAAGTCACAGAGGCTATGTATGCGCATTTACTAATTTTACATTAAATATAAACTGTAGTTTAAAAATATAACACTATATTTTAACAAAAGTATAATTAATCCTGATTAGCATTGAATGATCTGCACCTTAACTGTCAACAAGAATCATCCACACGAAAATTATCTTCCGTTATGGACTTTTATACTAGTAGGTGGCGCTCACCAGTTATTATGTACTTTTGAGAGAGTGATGTATGTAAGGTGAAGTTGTTTGCATTTTAAACATGCACAGTGGAGAGAATGTTGGCATACCTATATACTACTTTCATGTAATGTGGATGAAATTTCTTTGGATATTGTACTTTTGGAAATTTAAAATGAGCTTAGGACACTGCGAACTAAAATGGCTGCTCCCTTGTGCTCCAAAAATCAACCAAAATTTGTCTAAAGTACACTATTCTTGGCAGCTATTAAAATATGGAAAATGAATTTTGCCAAACTAGATAATACCAGCTTCTAAAAGTGCAATGACTGAATTACCAAATACATAAAATGTAAAAAAAAGTTATCGGCTCTTTTTTTTACAATTTACCTCTGAAGTTCGAGAAGTGAAAATTAGCAAGTAGAGCTAGCACTTTTTTGAAAGATGCACATCTGCAGTAAGGTCAAGCTGTATACTCTCTAACCCATATTACACCCATCAATCATACATCAAAATAAAGGGAATTAAGGGTTCTTTGAACAATACCTAAGATATACAAAGTCTCTTTTAAAACACCAGTATAACTAGTGAGGAAACCCGGGGAAACTCTTTTTCTTTAAAATTTTAACCCTATGCTAAATACGAAACTGTAGAGCGCCACCGTAGCCATGTACTAGACTTGTGTCTGAATAAGAGCGCGTCGAGTGGAATCATCACAATCGGGAGAGGTACGAATTTGTTGACCAATATGCGTAGCTTTCATTGTGACATCACAGCGCGCGACATTCAGTCCGGATTGTACTGGATCACACCTTGGGGTTCATTTCGTCCAAAATATTTATTTTGCCGTATGCACTTCTCGGGGGTCTGAATAATGACCTTCCAAAGGAATAGGGATGTATACGAATCCAAATAAAGTGAATATTTGCCACTTAAAGGTACGTAGAATCAACTTCCATAAAAATGACACCCATTACTGAAATAATAGATGTCGAATGCCAACATGATCCATGTGATTTGTACTATAGAAGACGGCACTTCATCGCTAAGAATGCAGCCTTCAACATCAAGAATACTGTCCATTGCAAACTCAGAGTTGCAAGACTCGTGAGTAGTGAAGGGGGAACCTATAGCGTCAATGGGAGTGATCATTAAAATAGGCTGCTTTGTATTTTGGCGTCAAGATTTTTGGCGCGAAATGGCACAGCCGTGCCTTTATAGCGTCAGGGGGAATTTTGTATTAGCACAACCTGGGACTGTTTTGTTTAGCATTAAGAGGATTGGTCCCAGGTGACATGACATCACAGTACTGAACACTTGTCAACAGTGTAGCAATGTGTAAGTACTGTGACGTCAAGCATTCGTCAAGTACTGTGACATCAAGCGTTCGTCGTGTTAGTGAATGTACTGAAATGTATGTTTAATAACTTATACAGGCAATTTGTTATTGAAAAGTATAAACTTTTCGAGATATGAAAAGTGGCCCTGAAAAGGGCCTTTGTTTTCTTCTTCTTCTTTTAATGTCTGCATTTCTTCCACTATTGGCTAACTTTCTCTAAAATTCCTTTCTTTTTCTTTGTTTACTTCTTCTTCGTATGGCATCCAGTCTGGATGACCCATATCTCTAAACTTCTTTTGTATCTTCATCCAATTTTCATTCAGTTTTTCAAAGTCTTTTTTCTTCTTTTGGTTTTCTTTCTCTTTTCTTTCTTTTGCCCAGGTCTCCTTAATTTTCTTAACCTCTTCTTCCAGTATTTGTTTGTTATTGTCTTCGCCATTCTTCACGTGATCTACACCTTTTTTTCACAAAAGCCCACTCTGTTAAATGGAAGATATCTTCCATATAGCATCTCGCTTGGATAACATCATCCAGAATCTGTTTCAAGGTTCCCACTTTGAAGTATTTTGAATTGACGATTCCTCGTATTTTGTCTGCTTCTTCTATGGTTATCAATTGCAACTGATAACTGGTTACTCTTAGTTTCTTTATCAAGTCCTCAGTACTTGTTGACTTCCATTCTTGGTTAAGTTTGTCCAGTTCGTGCACTCCATCCACGATCCACTACCAAGTATCTCTTAACTGAGTAAATAGCTCTAGACTTCCAGTCGTTTTGTATTCTGTGTAGAATGGTACGAATGGTGAACACTAGGGTTTTATATACGTAAAGCACGGACGTGAATGAAAACATTCTTTAAACTCGCTTCACTTCTCAACAACGAAAGAGAAGCACAAAACACGCCTTATACTATCTCATCAACGAAAGAGAAGCACAAAACACGCCCTATACCATTTCATCAACGAAATAGAAGCACAAAAAAACACCCAATACCATCTCATCAACGAAAGTGAAGCATAAGACCCAAAATATACCATCTCATCAGCGAAACGAGCTGCACAAAACCCCAAAATATACCATTTCATCAACGAAACGAGCAGCACAAAACACACCCTATATCATCTCATCAACGAAAGGAACAGCATAGAACCCCAAAATATACCATCTCATCAACGAAAGAGAAGGATAAAACACACCATAAAACATCTCATCAACGAAAGAGAAGCATGAAACACACCCTTATACCATCTCATCAACGAAACGAGCAGCACAAATCATACCATATGCCATCTCATCAACGAACGCGCATGCAAACACACACACACACATCTTTATTGAAGTGAGTGTTTATAGTTACACTTCACTATATTCACACAAATTGGCAAATTGGCAAATTAAATAGTATTTCTTTTCTAGAGATTTGGTTAGCCCTGAAAAGGGCTGTTTTTATTGAATTCCAATGACACCTGGCTAATGCTGACATCTTCCTGGACGAGCACCGCACACACATCGTCGGCTCCAGTCATTCTCCCAATTTATTGCTCTGACCTGCAGAGCAAACGGATCTTGAGTGGCTTCACTATCCCACTCCTCCGTTTGTGGAATAGTGAAGACCTGCTGTACCTCTTGTCTTCGGGGCCAGAGTCGGGGATGAATAACTGGTCTCATTTCCTGAGGTCTTGGTCTCTGCGTAATAGCCCCTTCCTAGATGGTTTACCACCTAAGCCGGACATCACCTTATCGGTAATGTTGCTAATCTAGGGAGGCACTTAGCCCGAGGGCTGGGCTTTTAGTCTAGTGCTTGACCTTTTCCACCGACCTTGAAACAGACCTTTATTGGGTAGCATTGACACAATTCAACCGCTCCGATCCCCGGGCTCGGAAAAGGCAAAGGAAAGGATCCAGCAGAGGGCGGTTCCATAGTTAATTCCTCTATCTTGTGGGCTGAAATTCTTTCCCTGTGTCTGGCTTACCCTAGGTCCACATAGTATTATTGGCTTTGAAAGTGTAACCTTTTCACTGTGTTTTTATGTGGCCAAGGGCGCTTCCTTCTGCACTTCCTCAATCCTTGATTGTTGTTTCTCGAGCTGACGATGTCGGCAGTGAATGTCGCTTCCGCCAACTAAGTTAAGGTTCGGTTTCTGCCCGTTGCCTAATGGGGGTGGGAGTCCCTATCATAGCCAAACATGCGTAAGCCACATACGAGACGAATAAATATGAGTTGTGAAATTTCCTACTGTATATAAGTATTATGTTTTTGCGTACTATGCGTACCTTTAGTTCCAAAAGTTTGTGTCAAATTTGATAGGTATAAGCTACCTTGTGACATTTAGTGGTCTTAATTTGTTTGGTGGTAAGTTATATATTTTTTCCTCTCCAATCATCCCTTCAAGAGCCAAAAAAGTAGTTGTTAGCCTAAAAAGAGCTCTTTACCAAAGTGAGCCCTATGTATGGCATTCAGACTAATCCTATTTCACTTCGCTGCTGTTAAAACAACAGCGATGTGATAGTAACAAGCTTCTTTCTTCAGCTGACCTTTTTTCTTTTACAATATATCGTGTGTAAAAGAATTTGGTTATTTCTTGTGTCTTCTTTTTTCTTCTCTTTTCTTCTTTCTTTTTCTTTATTTTCCTTTCTTCTTTCTTCCTTCTTCTTTCTTTCTTCTTCTGTTTT